TAGTTTTAGAGTCTTTTTAGTGACTCAATGCTAGACAGCCAATTCCCTTTGCTGTATTTTTACAACAGGATGACCAATACCGCTCCTTCCCCATGAAATGACCTGCAATGCCTCAGAGAAGGGAATCATGCAAGGCAAAGCTGTGGTTCAAATTCAAAATTAAGCTTTAGCTAAATGGAGACCAGTCTGAAAACTACCCTAAGACCTTCCAAAAGTCTGCAATAGTGCTGGTATGGCAAGGAAGCAAATTAGATCAGCTTCCTAGTATAATTTTTAAAAGAGCCCCACCACCAGGGAGAGGTGAAAATACATTGCTGGGGCAATGGCAAGTCAGCCAGTCATAAAATTGTAGCTTAAGTGCTAAATAGATTAACCTGAGAGCCATTATTAGAGAGTTCAAGGGGCCAATTTTTTCTCTCAATTATGCTGAAGTCAAGGAAGTAGGTCTATTGTCACTTCAAGAAGTATTTCACCTCACTTCATCATTTTCACTGCAGCTGCATACAGCTGTGAGAGACCAAAGCGCATCGTCAAGATATTCACAAAGCACCAGCCCTCCAGACACACACACACACACACTGTACCCCGCCCCAAGCTAAATTCTTCCAGTGTCAGTTAAAACATCAAAATGACAAAACCCGATGGTTTTGTTCAACAGAACATCTTTTACTGCCCAGGAAGAGGCACAAAACAGCAGGTAGCATTTGATTTTTCCCTTTTTGAAAGCAGTCAATCCCCTATGTTTCAATTACATAGGGGATTTTTCCCGTCAGTTAAGTGCAACCCATTTCTGTGACGGCCTGATACTCCAGCACGGTATGTACCCTGCGGCTGGGAAGGCAAAGCATTCGTCCAGCTCCTTCAAGGCTGCCACTGAGACTGTCTCATAAATCATCTGGCTGGAATAACTCAGGTAGGGCTTAATCCAAAGCCCATTGAAATCAATGGAAAGCTTCCCACTGACTTCAGCCAGCTCTGGACCAGGACCTCAGGGTTTTATATAACCATCGTTCCAGGCACAGGACTCCCTCTGCCTCCAAGGAGCAGGATAAAGCACCTTGGCTTTGCCACAGAGCAATTAGAGATGTAGCACATCCCGTCACCCAAATGGCTGGTAGGGTCCTATTTTTCCAGGCCTCGCACCTGATCAATACAAACCATATGTAAAATGCTAGCAGACAGACACAGTTAACTCTGCCACATTTTGTCCTGGGTTTCCCAGCCTATGCCTGGAAAGCCTTGTTCCCCCATGAGGTTCAAGAGCTGCTGGGTCCCTGCCAGCCTGAGCGTGTGCAATAAATCTGACAGCCTGGGAGAAAGCTGGACAAAGCTCCATACGCCTGCTGTTGGCCACATGCCCCCTAGACAGGTCTGCACTGCTACTCCAAACATGCTGATAGGCCTCCAGAGATCCCAGGCAAATACAAACAGTCAAAAAATTTCTGAGTGGGTGCAGCAAGCCCATGTGGGAAATCCAGGACCTGTGGGATATCTTGAAACAGTAAGAGCTTAAAACACCAAGAAAACCACAAGCTTTCTGAGTTAGTGGGAACCTATATCTGAGTTGCCACAGCATGAACTACTAGCCAAAGCACATTCCAGGGGTGAACCGCACTGCAGGTCTTTAAAAAACAAAGCAAGCCTCTCCTCAGGATCAATCCTAAGCACATCAACCCAGAATGCCAGGGCTACACAGCACAACAAAGCATCATTTCCAACAGCTTTTTGATGGAAAAAACCCCAAAATACAAAGCTGATGGCACACGTATCCTGACCAGTCCTCACACAGCCTCTGGCCCCTGGGGAAGACAAAATAAGGTCAAATCACTCCCTCTTGGGTATGGGGTGCGTGAGTCCGTGCTGCTACAAGGCATCTTCACCCCTAGATCTCTCTTGGGCATGGGCATCAAGGCTGAGAAGACAGGCTTTCCATATGCCTTTATCCCAGGAAATGGTAAAATGCATCACTGCAGCTGGCTGAATTACAAATACTGCTGCCTGATATGGCTGCTTGCACTTCTGGGTTTACTGTTCAACTCAAAGAAGCCTAAACAGTGACTGGGAGACCTAGCAAACACGCTACAGCCTACACATAATCATCTGTCCATCTCCCAGCAGAAATGCTTACAAGCAGCGGCAGCTCCCCACAGCAAGGCTACAGCCCACTGATGGAAGGGTGCAGGGAAATGTCTTGTGCCTAACAGCAGGTAGCAGCGTGAGAGCTGATGGAGCATTTTCAACCTCGATGCCGCTCTTTTCGACTGCACAATTTACTTGATAAAGTACCTGGAAGCGTTCAGAGGGAGATCTAGCAAACAGATTGCTGTGGATTATGACATGTACACAAACACACTGTAGTCATAAAGGTAAAGATGATCCCCAAGTCCCTAAAAATATGAATTCACCAAAAGAATCCAGCATGACACATTAATTTGTTAATAACAGCCCAAATGCTGCTGCCCTCAACTCGACGTGAGCGGCACAATGCAATGGGGGCGGATGCTCAGCTCCTCCCTCATGTTGCCCCTCTTGGGGTAGGTTTTGGGAGGTCTCAGAATCACATCTGAACTTGAGAATCAGGCTCTGTTATTGTTAAGGCAAACCAAAAATAAAAAGGCCAGACTAAATTATTTTTAAGATCTCAAGATTTTTAAAGCAGCCTTGTGACTTTTAAGGGGTCTGACTCATGATACTTGAATGCTTGAAGTTGGCAGCAGCGAAGGGAGTACAGCAAGATTTAGCGTACAGCAATTTATTGCTAAAAGCCTTCAAATGTGTGGGAAAGGGCACGGAGCACTTCTGCAGAAAACAAGGACATGGGCCCAAGCCCTTCACCTCCAGCTGGGCTGCCACTGAGCTCGCCTCCTCCACAAAGGTTACTACACAAAATCCCAGCAAAATCCCACCCCAGATGTGGGAAAAACACTTCCCAAAAGCAGGTGCGGGTGGGTGGGGAGGGGGCTGTTTCCCTTGTCAGCAGCCATCACTTTCAGGCCCAACTGCTTGGCTCCCCTGTGATGCAGGGGCGGGTATCACCATTGGCCTGCAGGCTCCCCAGGGATAGCTCCTTTGAGGGACACGATGAGCTGCTGGCTGCAGCTTCTGCCTCCCCAGGGCTCCGGTTTCCCCGTGTGTGATCAGGGACTGGAGCGAGGCCAACGCGTAAAATCGCAGGCCGCACAGTGACTTACAGATACACCTGAACTCCTGGATTTCAGCTTCCACGTCCACGAGGGCAGAGTGCCCTCATCCCCAAGCCCCTGTGGCTGTCACTGCCTCCACAAGCCAGCCTCGCCGCATCACTGATGCCCAGACCACCCCACAGCCTCTGCACGCTCATGTAAGAGCTTAGATGACTTCACAGGGAAATTCAAGTGACATTTTTCCATAGCAGAAAACACCTCCTGGACTACACCCCCAGCATCCTCCACAGGCTGCCCAGGGCCTCTATTATCAACAAACCCTAAAGCCTCGGCCTTTCCATGAAAAGATTTTCTTAAAGCAGAAGTACCCTAGAATTATACAAATACCATGTGCTATACTGTGCACTGGCATGGGATCTGCAATCTCTCCCATGCCACCCAACAAAAATTTATCGCCCAAGGCTTGGGGGGAAACCTTCTGGAATGAGAAGGCAGCTTAGTGCCATGGCACATTTGCTCCTCTGCCTTTTGGGGTAGGTCACCCACCAGGTGACGGCTGCATTTTGCAAAGGGATGCTGCCGCCTCATTTCCCTTTGGCCACTATGCTTCACATGTGTTTATTTATCTACAGGCAACATTGCTGCTTTCCAGAGTTCACAGGTTCAGCTTGTAGCCTGACAAGAGCTCACATACCCAGTTCTGCATAGCAACACTTTCTTCGGAAAGAAAGGCGGCTATTGTATCTCCTCTACCTGGGATTTCCCCTCCCCAGGTATCATCAATGTCCACCAGAGAGCCCTGATTAGTTAGCAGGGCCTCATTAAAAAGCTCGTAGCAGGCATTAAATATATATATATATATTTGGCATTGCATTCTGCTGACTTCCATTTAAAACTTCTCTGAAAATGTGTTTTCTCCTACACCATTCAGAACCCAAAACATCATGATTTTCTCAGCGCATGGGAAAGACTAGAAACAAAAATAAGCCCATATTCAAAATTAAATATAATAATGAGAAAAGCATGTGCTTAAACTTAGGGCTTTTTTAAAAAAAAATCACTGCAGTGTTAATAAACTAAATCAAATCTTTATATCAGAGAAGACATTACAAAAATAAATGGAGCCTGACTTTATCCCTTCTTACTCTAGTGTAAATCATGGGAAATTCCATTAAAGCAAACAGAACTGTACAGGTGTAAAATGAGGTTACTTAATGAGATGTCATTCCCAGTATTTTCATGCTGCTGCTTTCATAAATTGACATCATCACACACACATCAAGTTCTGTTCTCATTTGGAGCAAAGTAAATCTGTAATAACTGACAGCAAATGCTGCGCTTCTTGCCCACATAAAGAGTCTGTAAATGAATAAAAAGTGACGGGCAGTACAAATACAACAGCAATTGCACAGTAATGACAGACAATTCACAAATATGCTATACTACATATAGCCAGTGTATCTCAGCTTTCAATTGATACCTTATAATTTTAAGTCTATGTCTGAAAAGACTAATAGATTCCCTTCTGCACAGCACTCGCTCACATGGCATCTGAGCATGAGTTTTCCTATCAATAATTTCACATGGCCATAGTCCACCTTCACTGTTTACATTTATCCATATAACAAAATAACTAGAAGCCAGGGCATTTACAACAGCTTAAGGGAATTAGTCACTAGACACCTCTGACTTCCAGCCTCTCCCACAATATTAACTAAAGCTATTTTACAGCACGTATCATTAGCAAGGACTCTTTGGTTAGCTATAGCATACTTTGGAATTTAAAACAGAAATCCTCAAAGCCACTGCTAATCAAAGGCAAGCCACCAGCACCATTTTCCATACGTAATACCTCACCTCTCTGCTTCAAGGCGCATTTCCTCACGCTTTTGCCTCCTGAGTTCTCTGCGGCGTTCAAAGTCATCCATGGTGGGTGTTCAAGCGTTCAAAGCTCTGGAAAGATCCAAATCTAAAAGGGAGATGACCACTTAGATGAGAGAGAAAACACAAAGGATGCGTTTAACCAACTGAGTTCATTTAGTTTTGTTTTCTCAACTTCGCTGTAACTATTTTCCTTTTCCATCAAAAAAATTAACTTCCTCAGTATTGTTGAGATAAACAAGATTAATGAAATGCCTTGTAGGATAAACATAGCCCATGCCTGCGTTTAGTTTCCTAGTTAAAATTAAGTCAACATGCTCTAAGTAAGGACTGTATACATCTGCTAGCCGCAGACTAGCTATTTGTAATGTCACAGGTCTTTCCTACAAACAAAAGCAACAATTCATCAGGATTTTAACTTTAAGCTTCCAATTTTTACTGGAAGAAGTAAAAACGCTTCACAAGAGATTTCTTATTATCTTTAGTTGCACAGATAATTAAAAGTTTTGCAAAAGTTAGTCCTCGTCTGTCCGTTCCCACCCCCCCTTCAAAAAAAAAGGACAAGAAAGGGAAAAGAGAAAATGAGAAATGAAAGGAAAAGAGGAAAAAAAAAAGGAGAAAAGAAAAAGAAAAGGAAAATAAGCTGCAGCTTTTAAATACCACCCAGGAGGAGCCAAAATATGTATAAATCCTGCTCAAAGAACCAAAAGTAGCAATATTTTTTTTGTAGTTTAATCCACGCGTTTTCCCCGTGCCCTACCTTCTTCTTTATGATTTAGTCCATGAAATATTTTCCCCTTTACAGTTCTTCACATACACAGCCTTTCCAGCCTTGGTTTATATCCCATCAAGCCGAGTATTACAGAATTCCCCTGCAGCCCCCAAACCAAAAATGACTACCAGAAAAGGGAAAGCTGTTCTCTTTTTGTCCCTGCTTTGTTTACAGAGCTGTCAGTGGTTAGTTAAACTCTGCCTGGAATCTGGCATTTAAGGCCTGCTCTAAGATTGCTTCCTGTGCAGGGCTGGAGGCCTCGCTTCCTCTGCAATCCTTGCCTAGGCACTGCACTCAGAGGATTTCCACCCTCCCCACGTCCCGTCCTGTTCCCCCCCCCCCCCCAAAAAAAAAATTTTCCAGCCCGTTAGAACAGGACCAGCCATTTGCTCTGGAAAGCAAGCCAGCGTGCAAATGCAGACTAAAATTTTCAAAGGTGGCTTATGAACTGCTTGCAGTTTAAGGGAAACAAAGCCAAGGTGCATTTGTAAATTATTTGAAGTGCTCAGTTTGCAGATGTAGATCTGTCTTGCGGCTTTATATTCCTGCCCGCCAGTGCAGCGTCCAAGCGCCCTCCCCTAAAATCACTGGCAATAGCAAAGTCTCTCATGACTTAAGGGAATCCGTGGCTTTTTCTTCCCTCTTTTTTGGATTAAAACACTGCTGAGGGCAGGGGGTTTGTGAAGGTTATTTTATTAGTGTACTTTTCCTGGGGGTGTTTTTCGTTCTGATTTGCTCCTGGATTGGGGGATTTAAAATTTTGTTGTTGTTGTTGTGACTTTCTTCGTGTTTGGCTAGCTAGGGTTGTTTCATGGAGGTTCAAAGGGAAGATTCATTTTGAAAATCTAATAGTGACTTTACAATTGCTGCTGCTTTTTTTTTTTTAATGCACAAGTAGACAATATATATAAAAAAGCAAGTCATAACAAGACTTTTTTTTCAAACCTTGTGTTTGTTTACTCTTACCACCACGTACCCCTTGAAGAACACAGAACAGCAAATCTGCCGTTTTCTCCTGGAAGTGTTTTCATCTCAGCCAACGCGTGCAGCTAAATCCTGCCTCAGTTCCCTTTGCTAGAGGGCCCGTGAGTTGCAGGACTGATGTGGTTCCCCCCAGCTGGGAGACGAGGATCAAAGGGGGAATGGCACACTACAGAGAGCAAGTTTGAAGCAGCGTGCTGGGTTTTTGTGCACAGAGGGCAGATGACGGTGTGCGCAGCAACTAAGACTGCACCAGGCAGCACGTTTAGTCTGTGGAGAACAGTCACCATCAGGAATTTAAAATATAAAGTGCTAACTCTTAGGCTGACACCTTGTATGCTAGAACTGAGAATCCCAAAGTTTTTTTCCCCGCTCTACCTCCCCAAAGCAGACATGCTTTGACATCTGATTTATTTGCACCTTCATCGCTTCTTACCCAGCCAGGTACATCCCTCTCTCGATCTCTCCTAAGGTGCACTCCTTCCCTCCCCTCTGTGCACTCACATAATCCCCATCCCCACGCCACATGTCCTAGCCAATACTTCCACCCCTTCCCTTCCTACATGATCCTCAGCACCATCTCTCATCTCCAAAAGCTCAAGCTCTCTTCCTCATGAGGAAAGCTGAGGAGGATAATAACCACCAGAACTATTTCTCTTCTTCCTCCTCCCTTTCCTTCCCAGGAGCGTAGGGGAGATTGTGCAGCAGTCAGAAGTTCCCTGATGCAACAACCTTTCTCCATCTACAGGGTACTTTTCTGTTGTTTGATGAAGATCAGATGGAGGGACATCTTGGGAGAATGTCTAGGATTTATTAGACTACAGTGTCTCCTCTCAGAGGATTAAGGTCCAGCCACTTCATGGCATTCAGATGACTTGCAAGCCAAATCTCTTTTTAAAAAATGAGGAAGGCACTCGGGAAATGGAGGTCAGGTCAACAGTACGACCTTTAGTTAGCAAAGCCATATCAGTGCAAGAAAATGAGTCATCAGCTAGAAGGTCTGCTTGAAGAAGTCAACTATTGAGTGCTGTTCACTGTCTTCCCCAAATGATTTGTTACCTTTCAGCCTCTGAAAGCTACTAGTGAGTAACTTCATAAATCTGTCTAAAAAGGTTTCCTATTTCCACAAAAAGAGTGTATAAAATCAGAGTTTCTCGGAGTGGTCTTGCCTCTCAGATTTTAAAATTGCTTTGGTTATAGATGAAGGTACCAATTATTTGAAGTATTTTCTACAAACCATTTTTGGGAGCATGCACATTTTGATGCATCTTTTTTGAAAATGAAAAATGTTCATGAGTGAAAACATCCTGGGCTAAAACATAACACTCCACCCAGATCCACTCCAAGGCCTGCCTGCAGAGCCAAATATGAAAATGTGTCTCTGTGTGACCTTCCCAGATGTGCAAAGAAATTAATTTTTTTACTCTTTGATCACATCCTTTTTTTTCCTGTTACACATTTTTAATAATTTAGCATCAGACCAAAAATGTTGCATTTTTCTGAAGAAAGCATAGAATCTTTAAGGTTGGAAAAGACCTCTAGAGTAAAACTGTCCCTAAGAAAACTGTTTCAAATCAAAAGTAATGTTTTGTTCAACCTCAAAAAAAAAAAAATCTTTGGTTTTATTTTAAATATAAAAATTTTGAGTTTCAAAGTAAGATTAAAAATGTTTTGATATCTCAGTCTTTTCCTCAGAATTATTTCCAGATATGTTTTTCACCTAATTCAACCAGAAGTCATCAAGACATTTTAAAGAAGCAGAAATGAATATATATTTAGCAAATAGAAGTGTCTGAAACTATTTGAGCAGTTCCATTCCAAATCCACACATATGCAAATTACTAGAATATGGGTTACTCTTACACTGTGAAAGGGTACACCACAAAATTTATCATTTTGTTGCTTCTACCTCAAAACAAGATACTCAGCATCTTTTCAACCTTTACACAACTGAAATAATACTGAAAAAATCTGAAGTGAACTGGAGTTTTCCATCACCAGACTCAGGAGAGGGACCTATGGAAAAACATTGCAAAGGTCTTTGATCTACTAAAGATAATTCTTGCTCAGGACCTCAGATTTTCCACAGCCTCAGATACAAGGGTCTTCTCAGGGTCCCTATGCCATTTGATTCTGAGACTGAACATTTAGATCATGGGATGTCTGATGAACCCTGTGGTCTTCCTGAAGACATGCTAAGAAAGACTAAGAGAAGACAGACAAGCAAAGTAACTTACCTAAAACATTTACCAGTATTGCCACGTTACTCAAATCAGAATCATAGCAAAGTATGTGCCCTGCAAATACCATGTCCCTGCAAAAACACTCGTCATTTCAAAAGCAGTACCAGTGTCTCTCTCCTTTTCATCTCTGCACTTCACATAATGCCTTCGATCTTCAGTTGACTATGGTTTATTGCTAAAATTGAGTTTTTCATTGTCTTGCTAAAAAGTGCTTCCTTCACAGACAGCCACATCTAATCCATCCTGGTACAAAACACACATGCAAATCCCACTCTCTGTCTCATCCCATGAGAGTGTTTGAAATTTTGTGTTTTCAACTTTCATCAAGGTGGAAAATCAGAGAAATGCACAGTAATTCTAAATATATGACAAAATATTTTAATAGAAATTAATGGGAATTTGCTTTTTGAAAGCAAACAATAAATTGGGTAGGTAGAAATACACACGTAACCACATATCTGTAGAATTCCAGTATGGAGAGCAAAATAACCTCCTGCCCTGGCTCACATTTAATACTGTCCTCATCCTATTCCCAGCACTGATTTCAGAGACAACTCAGCACCCAGGGGACCTTAAAAACAGATGAGCTAGACTGGTGACAAGCAAGTGAAAATACAAACTGCTGCTCAGGTCCTTAACAAACAGAAACGTCTGTCTGTCAAGACCTGCCAGTCACCTTTCCATTACACTGATTGAGGTCCGCGATGTTTATGCTGAGCCTTTGCACCAGCTTCAGTGTAGTTGAGCCAAGAAACTTCAAGCCAGAGTATATTCCCCAATATAGCATGGCTGTGTATTGCACAGGGCTCTATGCCGGCCACGTCTGGTGACAGTATCGTGCAAGCACACGCCATCTTGCTTCCCTCCCAGTACAATGAAACAATTGCAGATTTCCTCTTGGTGACCTTCAGGCCCAAAGAGCGTGAAATGCCTGTTTCCTTAACGCGGGATCACTCACTGCTCCGGTGTTGTGAACGCTCGGGGTAAGCTTCACACAGCTGCTAGGCAGATTGCAAGCTGTGATGGCTGCCTATGCAAGACAACATGGATCAGAGCTCTTGCCAGACCCCCTTCTCAGCAGTTTGGCCTATT